CAGGGCTGTGTAAGCGATAGGCTGCCTACTCAAGTTTAAGGTCAGTGATGGAAGAGAGGCAGGCAAATGAAACAGCTTCCCCATCAATCAAAACAGGAGGCGGTCAATCGCCTGCCAGATATGCAGAGCTCTGGCATCACATAAACAAACTGGTGCTGGAGAGACAACTTGGTCGTTAAGAGCACTGCCTGTTCTTCCAGAGGACCCGAGTTCGATTCCCAGCAACCCTATGGCAACTGACAATCGTCTGTAACTCTTCAAGCACCTGGTACATGTGTTGCACATACACACACACGAGGACAAAACACTCATATGCGTAAAAATAATAAATCATTAAAAAAAATAAAGACCAGACTATAAACAACAAACCAAAGTAACACAATTCTAACATGGAAAAAGAATGAGTTGAATGTGGTGACAAATATTGGTTATTCCAGCACTCTGGAAAGAGGAAGAAGGATAGGGAATTTAAAAAACCAACCTGGAATATTAAAAAGCAAAAAGCAAAAAGCAAAAAAAAAAAAAAAAAAAAAAAAAAAAAAAAAAAAAAAAAAAAAAAGCCCAGGTCTTGAATCCAGCACTTGGAAGGAAGAGACAGGTAGATTTTTGATAATTTAAAGCCAATCAGTTATACGTAGAGACCCAAAACAGCCAGGGCTACATAGAGGCACCGTCTTAACAAAACAAAATAAAATAAAACAAAATAAGCAGAAAAGTAAAAGACTTAATAAGGCCATAGGCTAAGAGTGTAGCTCGGGTAGGGGAGAGTGTTTGGCTAGCATGCCTGATTTCCTGGGCTGGATTCCCCAGAATAGTAGGGAAAGAGAAAAAGAAGGGAGGAAAGGATGGAAAGGGGAGGAAGGAGGGAGAGCGGGCTAGAAGGAAGGGAAGGGACGCATGGACTCCAAGACCACACCAACAAGCCAGTGTTTTTCGATAGGTGCAGGGAAGGCCATCACCACCTTTGTACGGCTGAAGCTCCTGCTCTGAACACCCCTAACGGATAGGCTGGTGCTCAGAGAGAGAGCACCTAGAAGAGAGAAGGCACTATTGATACCGAGAGACGCATTAGTGATATCCAGGGAGCTCCAGCTTCCTTCTGCTGTAAAGTCAACAGTAATTCAATTCAGGACACAGTGCTAGAATGATTCTGGTCACAAAGCCAAGCAGGATGCCTGGATAGAGCCGTTTGCTAATGATCATAGGCTCTGCCTACCCCTTCCCACCTCTCCCCATCCAAGACTACAGCCCAGAACTCTTCTGGCATCGAACCCTTTGTCTTATCTCAGCCTGCTGTGTGTGGCAGCAAAGACAGGCAGCTGAACAAAGGTATCTCCTCAAAAGCAGCTGCTTCTACAGGTACCCAAGCCGGGTGTGCAGGCGGGGCACACTCAGGCTCCAGCTCAAGGCCAAGGGCCAGCTTTTAGATTACTCTTCTCATCGCTATTTTCTGACTCCTGAAAGGAGCCAAATGGCCCTGATCTAAATCCCATTTGCTTTGCTATCGCCTAGCTACCAGGCCTGGGGTGACACCGTTTGCCCCCAGCTGTGTTCCTAGTCTGAAAACTGATGAGGTAATAATCTTACTTTACATGACTGCGTTTAAAACCACCCTGAATCTGATGAGATACACATTGGTGTGATTCCAGGACATAGGAGGCCGAGGCAGACAAGATGCTAGTTCAAGGCCAGCCTAGGCTAAAACAACCACACACAACCTTACCCATAAAAAGAACTCCACGAGGGCTGGACGTTCTCGCCAGTACTTTGCAAAGTTGTGGACAACACAAACAAAAAGAATGATCTAAGCATACTAAAGAAACTGAAAGTCGCTGCCATGCTATTGTTCTTGTTCCTATCAGTTACTATAATTACATATTGTTCCTTAGATTACTTGGGTGTCAGAAAAGCAAATCAGACATCCAGGCCACTACCAAAGAACTCTTGTGCTCTACAGTCATAGAGCCCAAATCCCATCTACGACCTGATCTCCAAAGCTGTTACACGTGGCTAGGCATGGCTAGTACCCTGCTAGCAGAACAAAGAACCCTGTAGCGGCCTTCTACGAGACAGGGAACTTCAGGTACTTTGTAGAAAGAAGCCAACACGATTTGTCACCAGGACTCCACGGACACTGATCTGTATTTATTTTGTTTTAATTTTCTGGGCAAGCTTCACCCTGGAATTCAAGCAGGCCTATAGACAAAGCTGGCTTTGAACTCATGGTAATCCTCCTGCTTCAGTTTCTCATATGCGAGGATTTACCACACCTGGCAAGAGTCACCACACCTGGCTTCAAAGGTTAGTCTTTTAAAAATTTGTGTGTGTGTGTGTGTGTGTGTGTGTGTGTGTGTGTGTGTGTGTAGAGAGAGAGAGACCGCATGACTTAGAGAATATGCCCATGTCGAAGCAGGCCTGGAGAGGCCAAAAGACAGGGACAGGGTTGGGAAGACTGTTCTCTTCTTCTACCGTGGGTTTCAGTAGGTCATCAGACGTGCCAGGAAAGCACTTGGACCCATAGAGTTGGTTCCACTGCCTGGCTACTCTTATTTCAGATGGTTGTTCTGCTCCTGTTTTTGAGTCAATATGCCGACACAGATGTGAGACACACCGTGGAAGATAAATCCCGGTCTCTTCCAAACTGACATTAGGAAGGAAGGTGGGGCAGGGGTTGGGGGCTCAGCAGGGTGGAGAGTGTTATATCTTCACCCGACTAGAGAAGGAAAAGGCCATGTGGAATCTAAAACATATCCAAGTATAGCCATTTGCTGGCTTTCAGTTACCAGTCTCAGGAACAGGGATCACCACACTGCCTGTTTACACGCCCGTGTGAATGGGGCAAACTTCACAAAGCCTTAGCCCTAGATGGAGAGTTAATGGCTGCTGAGGGTGGAAGAATCAGTTTTCTCCATGGATAAGTCCCTGTTAGGTTACCCAATTCCAAGAAGTCAGCTCTAAACACATGTGCACACAAGCAACATTAAATGAATTCTGCAGGCTATATTTATATATGTATGTGCATATATATATACATATATATAAAGAATTTATAAAGAATTTATGAATTTAAGAGGGATGTAGGAATACACACACATATATGAATACATACATACACACACACACATATATGTATATATATATGAGTAGATTATAGTAAATATTAAAAGCCCTCAGTGCCCCCAGGAAAAGGCTGGCCCGTCCTTGATATGAGCAAATTCAGGGCTACTCACATAAAATGGAAGAGAAGCTAATTGTGTTCCAAGAGAGTCCACAGCTGAGGTACCTAAGGACAGCACCTAGATCGGGCAGACTAAAGGTCCCAGGTATGGCAAGCATAGGCCTCAGAAACCAGGCAGACTGCCTGCCAGCCGTCCATGTTAAAAGACAAGACCGGAATCCATGGAGATGCTCAGAATTCTGCAGACTTTCAGAGGACCAGTCCCACAAATCCCCAGAAACGTCAGAAACAAGAGAGGACCCTTCCAGCTCTGAATGCTGCTGCCACAGGAGCGGAGCAATATGAGTCAGTGGTGGTTGTTGAAAAGAGAAGAAAACAAATCAAAGAAAGGATGAAATCGATTCCTTTTCTCTACTTTTCAAGAGAAACTGCTTTGTGCAAAATTCTGCTCTCAAGGCAGGGACAGCAGGAGAATGCAGCCACCCTGAACCAGGCATTACCCGTTATTCCCAGACAGTTGGGGGAGGAGGGTGGTCCCCAGCATGATAGCCCGCAATGTCCTAGCCCAGTCCTGACATCTCACCAAACCCATCATGAACCTAGTGGAGCCTGTAGGGCACAAGCAACATCCTCACCTCCAAGATGTAACCAGCACATGTCCAACCTTGGAGAGCAGGCCACGAGGTTTTTCCCAGTCATGGATTCCATTTGTCCTTCTGCTTTCATGACAGTTTGGCTCCTGATAAATCTTGGAGGAAATCCCACTCGGAGTTCCAAGGATGGAACACATACCCGTTCCCACTGACTGGCTAGAGCTGTAGAAGGACTAGCTATGACCACAGGACCGTGGCAAGTGAACAAGCCCCAACTTGTCACTGCCCATATGCAAAACAGGCGTGCAACATCCTACCACATACAGTGCAACACATAGAAGACTGGATCCTTGGCCCTCCCCAACACACACACACACACACACACACACACACACACACACACACACACACTCCGCCATGGCTTTCTCTAGGCCAACTGACAATAGCCCCTCAAAAACACAAGAGCAGAAAGAAAACAGAAACCTTACTCTCTTGTCCCTACACCCTCTTAAGTGATTTTTCTCTTCTTCTTAATCTTCTAGAATATCCTTAAGTCAAGAGCTTAAAAGAATAGACTAACGCAGGCTTGAAACCTAGTAGGAAAATCCATGATGTGTCCACACATGGGCACATGTAGCTTCATGGCTGCGCTTCCTGGAAGTCTGCGCCGCTCTCCCACACCACAGTGTGGGTGCAGAGCATAAAAAAGTAGCCAAGGAAGGGCCCATCTAGTAAAATCAACAGCCCATCCAGAGAGAATTAGCATACTGAGGGTGTGGGGGCCATGAACAAACACAGGAATGCAGTACAAACACAGGGAAAGTTTCCTGACGCAGTTTGGGAGTTTTAGAACACCTTCTTTCTGCCCTGAGGGGCTGTCTCGGAGGAGGGCTGGCCAAGGATGGAGGGAGCATCACTCAGACTTCCAGTTTCGCAAATGAGGCCTCCAAACCACATCAGCGGCCCCAAATCTGCGCTGATTGCAGGGGGCGTCTCTTTTTAGCCATGAGGAAATGGGCTTTTGATCAAGTGCATAAATCCAGAACTATCTCTATGCAAGGGCCATTCTGTGTAACCTCCCCCGCACCCACACCCCTCACCCCAACCCAAACTCTCTGGCGGTCTCGAGTCTAGTGATGAGGAAAAGTGAATCCAAAAGCCCCTTTTCCTCTATCAAGACTGTACATCCCTAGGCTCCAGAGTTTCCTGGGGATAAACTTGGAACTTACGGGAAGGTGGATTCAGCCATGACTCCCAGGTCACCCGGACTGCCAACATCCTTTCCGCGTGAATATCCACTCGGGGGGCTTTGAGGGCACTGGGTCGCATCCTGGTTCGCAGCTCCTCTTCATCCTGGCCTTGCCGAGCCCGCTCGACCAGCGGGTCCATGTGCTCGGCGGCTGCACGCGCTCTGCCCGATGGAGCGCGGGGCTGGCGGGTGGCCCGTGACGTCACGGCGGCCCGCTCCCGCACAAGCAACATCCTCACCTCCAAGAT